GTTCTGATTGTCAAATTATATTTTATTACTGTTGTGGCGTAGGTTATTGCTAATTACACATTTTCCAAAAATGTTTTAGTTTTCTTTTTGGTTTATTTTGGAAAATTAATCAAAGTAGAACATTTGATAGATAAATATAGATAAACTATTATAAATATTAAAGTAATATTACAATAAATAAACAAATATGTAATGTAATTTTATGATATTTGGTAGAAATAATTTTCATTGTGAAAAATTATTAATGAACTATATAATAAAAAAGCGTAATATCGAGACAATTAAAAATAATTGATCTATATATTTTTATTTTAGTAGCTTAGAAAAATGTATCTTATTGTTTTGTTGGTGCCAAACTGTTTGCAGGCTATTTAAATCATTACCAGACCATATGGAAATTTTTTTTAGGGGGGGGGTCATAAACTAGAATATTTGAATAATTTATTTAATATGTCACTTATATTAGTATGAAAATATCAAATATATATAATATAAAACACTATATCGGCGCTTATATTTATTGTTGGCAGGCCAAAGAAGGAGTTTTAAAAAAAAGTTGGCGCAAATGTACACCCTGCACCCCCCCAAATTACGCCCCTGATTGAAAAGATTGAGTATTTGAATATCTGTCTAGGTTCCAGAAATGAATTGTCTAATTTATCGTGTATCGTGTTTTTGCGAGATGATTGTTTGACATTGAAAATACTCGAGATACTTTATCACCGGTTACATTATTGTTATATTATTTGTCTACAAAACCGTTTCGGTAAATAATTTCCGACGTTGTATTTTTTGTAAGTCTTACCTCCAACGTCTTACCACCAACGTTCTACAATCTTATCGATTATTTTATTTGATCAATCTCACAACAAATTCTGTGTCCTAATAGTCCTATACGGCCATACAGCCCATACAGGACCAATATAATAATTTATTCATGGTCGGACTTGATTGAATGATTATTTACCGTCATAACCATAATATTTTTACCAATTTATTCATTATGACTTATAAGATAGTTATAAGAGTCACGTACCAGGGGTGGCTCCAGTGACATGGTAAGGGGGGGGGGGACAAAGACATAATTTTCAGACAATTTCAATGATTTTTTTTTGTAATTTTGTTATTAACAATATAAAATTGTTTTGAAATACAGCTTGGTCGATGGGCTCCATGGAGCCGCCACTATCACGTACACTCTACGATTTATTTAATTTTTAATACAATTTGTTTGCGATCTTCGCCGATTGTGACTGTTATGTTAAATGTTAAAATATATTATGACGATGACATATTGACATATTGTCTTTCGCACTATTTTTTTAATACAACATTTGTGAATTGTGAAGATTAATGTAAATGGTGTATACATAAATACCTATAATATATTTAAATAATAGGTACATTGCTTTGATTTATTTTTCCCATTTATTGTGAAACGTATATACTATCTGTCTATGTAGGGTGTTTTATTACCCCAATTGACTTTAATATTATGGTGAGAAACGTGGTAGTCGAGTACTACAGAGCACCATATTTTTTTACTCGCCGTGTGGTACTGGGTGTCTGTGTACATCATAAAATCGTATTCCTCTTGTCGGCTAACGGGTCTTATTATTAAAATTGTAATACATTATTTTCACATTTTTTTGTTTGTTTTACGGTCGACTCGCTCGTAATATTATAATACTACTCATCTCTTATCTTTCTATTGTTAAATGTTAACTATATTATAACTTCTGTGCGTCGTTGCACACTCTACGAGCTGCGTAGAATGTAACGGAATTCCTCGAATAGTCTCTAAGTTAAAAAAAAACAACTCTTCTGTTTTTGGACGACTAAACATAACGCGTAAAAGTAAGTTGAAACTAAAATAAAAAAAAATATGGATTGGAGGTATGCGCATGATGCGTCATCCCGAAGTAGCAACCTACGTGCGTTCATTTATGGCCCGTTGTCGTTAAGTTAATTTACAAAACTTTGCGTTAGGTTTCAGACATTTTGTCTTGTCAATACACATTATGCCATGATGAGTCGTGTTATTTCGTCATTATCTTTATGGCTATCGTGTGCCTATTCAACACGCTCATTTCTTAATAACATTTATGATTGCCACACCATTTTTCCCAAGACTGAGACATTAATTAAGCTATAAATCTAATATATACGATACGTATGGCACTATCGCAGTATTGTACGTAGACGACGTCTTCGAGTTTACATCCGATAAATATTAATTTACTGAATGGTCGAAAAAAAAATACGATTTAGTATTTGGGTTTAGAAGATGGTTACGAATAATTACGATAACATTATCCACGATATAATATTTGTGTTGGTTGCATTCTTGTGTACGTTATAATTTAATTTATATTATTATTAATTATTATTATTAACTACTTGGAGTAAAAACGAATTATTTAACATCTAGAAAAAACGACAAAACCGACATCAACACGTACGACTTAATACTTATACTATATAAGTAGTGTAAATAAGGTCGCGTGTGCGCAATAGCAAATATTGTGTGTTATAACTTTCCGGTGCACGGAAAAAATGTGTTTTTAGGTACATATATTTAAGTTTTAACAGGAACACGCCTATAAATAGTAGTATGAGTAACGTTTGTTCGAATTCTCAATACACTTGTAACTCGTGTATGGTACCATAGATCGGTCAATATTGTAATATTGCTGTACAAATTATAAAACAACGCCTAGACAGAAATCGGGTACTAAGGGAAGGTGTGGGTGGGTTATCTACTTATTAAAATACGATGGTTTATCTAATTAAAATTGACTACGCAGCAGAAGCCAAGGGCCCCGGATTTTCTAAGTTATTTTGAAAATAATGAAATTCTGTGCCGGCCGTTAATATTTACCAATAAGACCTATTTGGACAATATTTATTTATAAAGGAAAACAATATTACAATCTATTAGATATTAGAATATATTATGATATTGTGGAAATCGTGCATTATTTGGCCCCTAACGATACGAATTAGCCAAAACCCAAAGCACAGGACTACGGCAGCGGTACTATTATATATTTTTTTTTTCTTTATTAGTAATACACAATCTGTACACAATCGGCACAATAAGAGTATGAGCTGAGAAATAAAATGAAATTATGAGCTAAGAAGCCACCCACCGATGACACTTATGTTTTTTTAAATTATTTGTTTTAACTTGATTATTATTATATTTTTTTTTTTTTTGTTAGGGATTAAGTAGGTCTCTACACCATTTACGCTTAAGGCGACGAGGAGGATTACCAGGAATGGTTAATGAAGCCAGATTTTTTACAAGTTCGTTTGGATGAGAGTTAAGGCGTAGGTGGAATCGTTTGTAATAATTTTTAGCTTCTTCCTGAACTGTATTATATTAAACATTATATTAAACACGGAAAAAATGTCGGTCATAGGGGACGCGATCGGCAAGAACAGAATCCAAGCAAGTCGTGAATCTTTCGACTCGGAGATTTTGTAAAAACACGGCGCCACCCAAAATTTCCCAAATCTCGCCCGATAGCAATAATAATCGTTATAGTCGTTGTAAACGTGTCGGCCTAGCCATCGCTGCAGTCATCAGTTCGACGGTACTGTCGTTCAAGATAAAACTATTCTCAAAATAAATTCCCGTGTAGGCCGCCGCGACGCCCCAACAACAATTTTCGTAGTTCTCCCGTTCCGTTGCCAGAACGACGATATTCATTGATTTTCGGTGCGCCGCCGCCGTGCTATCGTCGTCCGCTCATCAACGCGCTCGCGCACGCACCGACAGGAACGGGCAGGCCTCTCTACACATCAAGAGAATATTGGAGAGAAGTGGTGTGCGGCTCATCGACTCGTTTTTGGTGGTTCGGCCGAACAACGTTCGTCAGCCCGCAAACCATAGTTCCCCTAACTCGTCGCCGCCACCGACGTCGTTCCAGCGAATTCTCTCCGCTACACACAAACACACACTCACACACGCACCGAATGCGGCGCGCCGGCCAACTGCCGTCGCCTCGCTCTCTCTTCCTACCATCATTCTTGGCCGCCGCAGCCCGACCACCCGTCCACGACGGTCGGTCGGTCGGTCGGCCGTTACTCGTTCTACGAACATAATAATATTATTGGAGGGTGGCGGGTGGGTGGACACGGTGATCCGCACGGGGTTGCCGGGGCAACCGGTACGTAGGCGGGCGGGTGACCGGGATACGCGGCGGCGAGCGCGTCGTGCACGCCACGGCGACGACGCGAACGCGAGCGCACAACGGAACGAACGAGGTCGACAACGAAATGTAGGCTTATCATCAGTTCCCGCTTTGTGCCGGCCGTTCAAATTGTCCGTTCCTCCTTGTTTGGAAACTCCGTGTAAGTATGTAAAAATTGCGTCCGCCGCCGTCGTCGCTGTCGTTTGCGCTGTACAAACATTCTTTCCTCTCCATTTTATTTTTATTTCTATTTTTTTTCTCTCCCCCTCCCCTTCTCCCAAAAAAAAAATGCCGTCTATTTATTTTTCATTTTATTTTTTTCCCACGTCCGTGTGCGCGTTACCTCTCTACCACCCTCTTCACCGTCGCGTTTGCCCACCCACATGCCGTCCCGTCGTGTGCACGCATCGCTCGGTGAACTGTGAAAGCCATTTCACACCGTGCGGTTGAGGGGCGGTTTTTGAATATTTTCAAATTTAATTATATTATTACGTGTGAAGAGAGTAAGGTATGTGCCGCGAGTACTGCATAATATCGTTATTATATTAAAGCGTGCCGGCAAGCCGTAGTCCGGCTTGTGCACGCGACACTTCGTTGTTATTTCCACCCCGGTTCTTTCGGTACGACCCGTGTGGGGGCGGGTGTTATGTATTTAGGAGAGCACCGAGCGATAAACGTTTTTCCACCGTGGCCACGACGCTGGTTCTCGCCACTTGCGCTTCTCACTCATTTCGTATTTTCTCAGAAAGCGTTGTTCCCGACAGGAACAATACCTAACGATAATTATTATTGTATCCGATATTATTCGTCACGAGTTTTTGAAGATTTTGCGTCGTTTACGATCCGGCGACGCGTCTTTTTCCGTTCTCCCCAATTCCCGGGGTTTGGTTGGGTGGCTCTAGTTGGGTGGTCAACGGTTATTAGGGTGTCGACCCATTCTCCACCCTCGCTGTTTACCCGGGCCGGATTCCGTAAAATCGATCGTCTCGTTTCGCCCGGGCTCGCTTGGCGTTTTTCGTAGTAATTTTCGTTCATCGTTTCTCTCATCTACCAGAGCTGGATACCCCGACAACGACCATTTTTTTTTATTTCCCTCTGTATTTTACATTCCCAGCACCGCATTGAAACACAATAGAGATTCCGTTATAAAACGGTTTCAAAAAAAAAAAATACCTAATACATCCCACGTCGCCGTCGTCGGAACACACATCTCATTATAATTAACGATGTGCGCCGCTCGAGCACTACAATTTATTATTTTACGGTCTCTTTTTCCCTATTTTCGTTGTAATGCCGCCTCGTATAACGTTTCCCATCGGACATAATATCTCGTAAATCCCAGGGCCACAGCCCACATTGTTATTGTGTTTGACATTTTGAGACATTTTTCAGAAAAACGATAGAACCTTGATTTGACTATTATATGAGTAGTCAGTTCACTGCTACCCAAAATGAATCTCGTTCCTCTGATATCGTCGTCCCATTACACATATCCAAGTTATCCAACGAACATTAATATTGTTCCAATATAATATTATCTATTCCAACCGTTGTACTGATTTCTTGTCTGGGGTATCATTTTTTTTTTTTTAAGAGTGTTGAAATTGTTTTTGGCGTCTTGTTCGGAGTTTATAGCTTTCGTTCTGTATTGATTCTAATTACGATTAAACAGATGTTCAGAATTAATTATTCGTATAATATCAGATTATGGCGTAAAAACTAAAAATGTATTTTATTTTTAGGCACTGCATTAACAATGTACATGCGTCTATGCTCTTATACCTACGCAATAACTTATTTTTAGAATTAATTTTATTGCACACAAACAGATTTATGGAATCTATCGACTAACCTTAATATTCCTATTTTAAAACATTATTGATTTATTGTTGGTCATTTTAACTGTTATTATATTAAATATAATATTACATAATTTTCATTAGGTACTTATAAAAAAAAAAAAAAACGTTAAAATAAACTTCAATTACTATAATGAACACGCTGACACGCCCTACAAAAAAGTTAAACTTGTGGTCCCTTCTTCGAGTTGAATTTTTGGGTGGTAACTGACTATTGATTTTTTAATGAAATGCCCATCTGTACTTTATACATTACGAGCTTCTGAATTATGTTTTCTGAATGATTGAAATTTGATAATATTAAATTGTCAAACTAATGATACTATACAAATAAATCTATTGAACAAAAAATATATATATAATTTATAAATCAATAAAATATGGAATAAAATAAAAGTAAAATCTAGAGTATTTAAACGTTTGTTTGGAATTGAAATAATTTAATAATGCCATATTTGCTTTACTGAGACGTGCACTAATTACGAATTATTTATATAACTTCCATATTTATAATTGAATTATATCAAGAACTATTTTATTTCATACAAGCAATTTGTTTACATTTTTAAAAAATATTACAATAATGATTTTGTCTGAACAAAATATGGACATAAAATAACATGCTAGAGGTAGAACTTTAATTATTATTTTATTCTAAGTAAAATACTAAAATAACTTAATCAAATCAAACGAGAAAAACAATTATAAATTATATAATGGGTATTGGTAAATATTTAGTCTCAACCAAAACTACAAAACACTGCGGACATAAAGTGTTAATAGGTTATTATTTTTATATTAATTTGTATTCATATCTGTAGTGTTATTGTTAACTGTGAAGACAAACAATATAGGCTATATGTACTATCAGTTTAAAAATGCAATTTTAAATATTTCAGAAGTACAATGACAGTTAATGGCCAGCACTATTGTCTGCGATGGAACAATTACCAATCAAATATGACCTCTGTGTTTCATCAACTTCTCCGAAATGAATCGTTTGTCGATGTTACTCTTGCTTGCAATGAGAGCACACTTAAAGCACACAAAGTAAATGATCAAATAAACATGACTTTTTATTTTTCTCTGTTTTATGCATTTTTGATAAACATTAACTTTGTGTTATAGGTTGTCCTATCGGCTTGTTCGTCATACTTCCAAAAACTATTGATGGATAACCCATGTAAACATCCAACCATTATACTGCCTTATGATGTTTGTTTTAACGATCTTAAATTCATTATAGAGTTTGTGTATAGAGGTGAGATTGATGTGTCTCAAGCTGAATTACAAGTAAGTCTAAAAACCTTGTGTCAAAGCAGAATCTAATGATAAAATTAATTATATTTACAGTCTCTTCTAAAGACAGCTGACCAGTTAAAGATTAAAGGACTATGTGAAGTGCCCGAAGATGAACGTGATACATCTATTGTTGCCGAAGTAACTCCTTTGGGCCCTTTAAAAAGTGGTGGAAGAGTGTTCACAAAATTACAACGCAGAACTTCTCCCTATTCAAAAAAATTGAGTCCTAATCAAATTCAACAAGATCAGTTCAATCGAAGTTATTATCGAATTGAACAGTCGGGTTTTGCGCCTATCAGTGTTGATCAAGAAAACAAATCTATAAATGTAAATGCTCAATATGAAATGAATAATAATTTATTAATGGATGTTCTTTTTTTTTCTAGACTATCCATTGCATGACTGTAGCAACATCAACTGAAGACGATGAGAAAGAAATGAAGTCGACACTAACAGACATGCCAGTGGTCATACTAGAGCCACATTCTACACTAAGTTTACAAGCCCAACAACAGCCTCAGATAGTTCACATACCTATACCACAACAACAACAACAACAACAACAACAAATGAGCCATGTAACACAACATACAAATCAACCACAGTTACAACAAGCTGCAGTTCAAACTCATTCACAAGTAAAATATTATTATATTTTTAATTTTATACATTTTATTTATTTTTTGATATTTTCAGATGATTATCACAACAGGCCCAGTTATGACAGTAAATGAAGCTGACATTACCCCCGATATACAGCCTGTTGGACCAAGGGCAACACCAGTACCAGTAAAAAATAACACAAGTCCCTCATCAACTCCTACACATAGAGATATGGCTGGTAATATGCTTAAAAAATAATTAAGATAAATTTGAGTTTTTGAATTAATAATTCAATATTTAAGGTTAGACAGATAAAATAGTTCCACTGTTTTAATATATTTAATTGTAACTAAAATAACTAATAAAGTAATAATATTACTTAAACACTTCATGAGCTCCCACGAGTGTTGGTATTTTTAAATGGGGAAGTAATAAGGCTATACATTTTGACATAACCTGAGCATAGGTGCAAATCTATTAAAATTTCTGGAGGGGCTAAGATTTTTAACATCAATATGAGTGAAGGAGGGGAGGGGCTTCGGTCCAACTTAACTAAAAAACTGTATATTTTTTTGGGGGGCCAACGGAGCTTAACCCCCCTGTTATTTGCGCCTATGACCCTAAGTCACAGGCATACATTTATTTAATCTCGAGGAGTAAAATTGATTGATGATTTATAACGTTAACTATGGGGTAGTTAACAATGTCCAACCAATGAAAATACCACTAACTTTTACAAGGAAATTGCCAATTGGGAAAGGAGAAACTATGTATGTGCTTTTCAGTGTAATAGTAATTTATATATTAAATCTATTCAAAAAAGTAAAAAATATAAGTGCAAAACTAAGTTGTTTACCTCAGCTCTTTCATATTTGTGTGAACTGTTAAGAAGTTAATCATCGTGTAAAAATAATAAATATCAACCTAGAAATGACTTTGTACAACACTTATTTTCTCTCTTAACATTCATGTTGTGTCCACAATTAAAGTCTTTTGCATTAATTCAAAATTGTTCTCCTATTATACGCCAAATAGTTATAGATAAAACTGTATATCTGTTCTTTTCAATAGGTTATTTGATATTATAATAATTAATAACCATTGAGTTTTATTAGCTTTTGTCTTATATGTTATAACTCCAAGGGAGAGGAGATAACTTGATCAAGCTTAGTTGAATTTAATTTAAACTAGACAACAGCCCAGAAATATCCATTATATATAACACCTTGTGGCTTGTAATGCAGGATATATCCATTATAACATATTTTATAGTTTAGTCTCAGGTTGAATTTTAAAACTTAATTGAAAATGTAATTTTTATTATATTTTGGTCATTGTTACTATTCTTAAATATTAATTAATGTCATTAATCATCTGGTATTTAACTCTTAACCAAATTTATTTATTTATTTTGTATAATTTTAAATTTTAGTTGGTACATCGTGTTCAAATGATATGATGAGAAGTGATGGAAGTGAAGGAAAATTTGAAAGTGTTAAATTTGAAACACTTCGTACTATTGATCAATCATCAGATGCAATTGGAATAGAAAGACAACATTCTAATGACCGTGTAATAATAATTTATTATATACTGTATTATAGTATATCAATTATTTCATTTATGTTATTAACAATATTTATACTTGTAGAATATAAATGATGAAGACAATTCAATGCATACAATGATGATAACACCTGAACTTTTGGGATTACTACCAAATTCTTCTAATACAGGAGGTACTTGCATTTAAATATATTTTATATTGTGGTTTTATTTCTTTCTAATTTGTATTCTTATATAATTATGAAATTACAGATGTCAGTGAAGATAGTTCTAGTAACAATATTAACAAACAGTACGGTACAAATGGTGGCAAAGGATGGACAGCTGATGACATGGAAAACGCCTTAGAAGCATTACGTTCACATAACATGTCTTTGACCAAAGCATCCATAACATTTGGGATTCCTTCTACTACATTGTGGCAGCGAGCTCACCGCGCTGGTATAGATACTCCTAAAAAGGATGGACCAGCTAAATCTTGGAATGATGAAGCTTTAAACATTGCTTTAGATGCTCTGCGTACTGGCACTATTTCAGCAAATAAAGCTAGTAAAGCTTATGGCATACCTAGTAGTACATTATACAAGATTGCGCGGCGGGAAGGAATTAGATTAGCTGCTCCATTCAATGCAGCACCAACTTCTTGGGGCCAGGAGCAGTTAGATCAGGCATTGCATGCTATACGAAGTGGACAAACAACTGTGC